GGTGGGGAGTGGGCCGGGGTGGGCAACAGGCTGGGGTGGGGAGAGGGCCGGGGTGGGCAACGGGCTGGGGGATGGGCAGTGGGCTGGGGGATGGGCACCGGGCTGGGTGGGCACCGGACTGGGGGGTGGGCAACGGGCCGGGGTGGGGAGCGGGCCGGGGTGGGCACCGGACTGGGGGGTGGGCAGCGGGCCGGGGTGGGCAACGGGCCGGGGTGGGCACCGGACTGGGGGGTGGGCAGCGGGCCAGGGTGGGGAGCAGGTGGGGTGGACACCGGGCGCGGGGGTGGACACCGGGCTGGGGGGTGGACACCGGGCCGGGCAGGCGTGTACGTGCTGCGTGGGCCCACCTCGATGATGTCGGCGTTGGTGCGGCTCTCATGCGGCTCGTTGTACTCCGTGTACTTGAGCAGCACCTTGTCCATGTCGGTGCTGGCATACTGGAACAGCTTGTTGGAGTGGTTGAAGATGATGAGCGCGATCTCACAGTCACAGAGCACGCTCAGCTCGTACGCCTTCTTCATCAGTCCGAACTTGCGCTTGGTGAATGTCACCTGCAGGCGGTGGAGAGGGGGTGGCCCAGTCTGGCTCAGTCAAAGCCTGTCCTGGAGCCCCTGGCCCGGGGGAGAGACAGGCCAGCACCTCTCTGCCAACGCAGGACCAAGATGCAGCCTAGAGCGGCCTCACTGAAGGGAGAGGATGGATGGACAGAATTCCACACCTCTGTGCCAGGGGCTGTGAAGGGGTCGGGGAGGAAAACGGAAGGGCTTCTGGATCCTCCCCTGGGGGAGAAAGAGGGGGGGAATTCATCTTGGGGAACAGGGCGTGCCCAGGCATGGCCTGAGGCTTGTGTACGGTTCCTGGGTGGGAAGTGGGTGGGGGTTGGGGGTGGGGGACACACAGGTGCACCTGCTTACAGCAGCAGACGAGCCTTAGAGTTCTGGGGTACAGGGCTCCAAGAGCTGCAGGGAGGTGGGAGTTCCTCTCCTCCCAACTCAGTCCTTCCCTTTCCATAATAGCCTTCAGAGGCCCCCTCCTCCAGGTAGCCCTCTTGGACTGGCAGGAAGGAGTGGAGGCAGAGGCCAGCTCCCTGCCCTCACCCACTCTACATGGCTCCAAGACCTCCTCACCTGTCGGTTCCGCTCATCAGTGATTCGCTGGATCTGAATCTTTTTCCTCCCCATCTTCTCTGGGGATCCTCAGTGCTAGGGAGGGGAGGGGATTGCTGGGTAGCAGGTCTCGGCACGCCTCACACTGTGCTCATGAACAGCCTGGAACCAGGGCTCAGTTCATGGTCTGCAGGACACCTTCTGCACAGCGTCCTGGGAAGGGGGGGGGGGGGCATGAGAGAACTGTCAGCCCTGGTGACCACCAGCACACCGGCCAGGCTCACAGCACCCCTGGGGCAGGCTGACGGTGTCCACCCCATCCTCAAGATGAGGAGATGGGGGTGCCCTGAGGCAATGGCGTGCCATGGCCAGGCACAAGTGGGCACTGACGCCCAGGGCCCAGGCCCTGGTCCAGGCTCTTTCTGCACCAACTCTGCTGCTCTTGGGTTCTAGATCACTCAGAGCTGGCTTCCAAGGGTCTGGGTCCTAGAGAACGCCCCAGGCCCTTTCCTCTCCCCAGAATCTGCCTGGAGTAGAGACATCTGGGTCCGCCAGCCACCCCTCTGGCCTAGAATGGTACTTCTGGTCCTGGCGCCTGGTGCGGAGAGCACCCACCGAGGCCACGCACGGCTTCCACGGGGTACCTGGTGCCAGGAGGGGTGTGCTCTGGTGGCCGGGGCTCAGGAACACAGGGAAGGCTAGAGCCTGGGGGCCCAGAGTGGGGCTGGGGCTGCAGAGCCCCTCTCCCCCTCCCCCCAGGGCTGCTCCACCCCCATGTCACCCGTGGGCCTCGGCCTCAAAGTTTTGTTTGAAGAAACGGTTCTGCTGCTTAAAATAAATAAACACACCAGCCTTGCAGAGCAGAGTCTGCGAACTTTTTCGGTAAAGGGGTCGATGACTATTTCGGGCCTTGCAGGCCATTCGCTCTGGACAACTCCTTGACGGCTACTGCCGACATCACGTAAACACGGAAGGGTGGTGGAACTCCACTACAACCAGATCTGTAACAACCGGCCCTGAGGTCATGGTCTGCCGACTCCCGCTTGGGGGGGGGGGGGGGCGCGACACGACAGGACAACGCGCTGCGTCCAGGACCCAAGCTCAGGCTGGGCAGCCCTTCCCAGCCTGGTTCACCCTGAAGCTCGGAGCAAGTACAGAGCCATTGGCGTGCACCGAGGAGGTTTCTGGCAGCCGGGCGGAGGCCTCCCCACCTCATGCACCTATAAATCGGCCAGGCTCCGCAGCCAGGACGGGAGTCAGAGCCCCCGCACCACCCGAGTCCAGGATGGGAGGGCGCGTGGGGTCAGAAGCCCAGCCTGAGCCAGGAAATGCCCGCGCTCAGGTGTGGGCAGTGCCCAAACAGGCTGGGTGAGCCCTGGGGGACTGGAAGGGCCCGGGGTGGGATGGAGGCACACGATGACCCCAGGGCCCCTTGGGCTCTGTGAATCCAGGAGAATCAGAGGTGGAGCCTTCCAGGAGAGGGGGGAGGGGGGCAGCGAGCAGGAGGCCATGCTTTCTAAAGCCACTCTGGGTCTGAGGAAGAGCCTTGTTCACAGAATCCAGCCCACCGCTCGAGACACCCCCATCCACAGAGGTCCAGGCAGAGACCCTACTGCAGAGTACAGGGAGGTGGGCTCTCACTGCCCCCCACTGGGTAGAGGGGACAGGCACATCTATCATTTGAAACCCCCTAACCCCCTCCCCCAGCCCCCACTTCCAGGGGCTGCTCAGTTTTCCTGGAGCCTTTCCAGCCCTGCTCAGCCATGGCCCCCAAGGTACCACAGTAGATGCCGAAGTTCAACCTTGGCCTCTCGGCCACAGAGGGCAGGGGAGAGGGGAGGCAGGGAATCTGTGGACTTGGGAGGAGCCAGAAATACCCCTTCCCACCCTGCCCCATCACCAGGGCTGTCCCTCAGGCTCTCCCCAGCCCAGCTGGAAAGAGTGTCTGCTCTGTCCTGAGATCTTCAGGAAACAATGCCGCTCCCTCACAACTAGAGGGATCCCCCCCCCCCCAGAGAGGGGTCCCAGAACCTCTTCCTCTGTTCCTTGTCCTCAAGGTGCTCTATGGGCCCTGGGCCTCCTACTGTCCCCCCTCACACACACCTGGCACAATACCAACACAGCCCAGGCAGCCCCGAGTGGTCCAGCAGCCGCCCCATTCCTGCCTAAACCCCTATCTCTGCCAAAGCCCCACTTGGAAGGCCCCAGCCCAAGGACTTCAGCCCCCCGCTTCCCAGTGCAACCCCAAAGCTGTGGTTTTCAGAGCCACGGTGGCCCGGGCTCCCAGGGAGGGTGGAGAGGGCACGCAGAGGACAAGGGGGCCCCGAAGACAGCTTTGTCACAGAGCCTCTCTGGCCTGGCCCTGCGTGAAGGCTTTCACTGCCGTACTCCCATGCTGGAGCATCCACCTTCCCTCCATCACCCAGTTTCCTAGCTCCCTCTCACCACCTTTTGTGCAGAAGCAAATTCTCGCTGGGATGTAGCTTCTATCAGGTTCGGGCCACTTCTGTCTCTTCCTTCAAGTGGGGAGAGAACCCTCTCTGTGCCCTCGTGGCCCCTGCAAAGTCATTCCTGCAGTCCGACCTTGTTCCCTTGGTTCAGGGCACCCTGTCCTTCCCTTCTGGCACTTCCCACCACCGTACACGAGTACCACTCCGTGCTTCTACTCAATGCCTGGCTCCCCAGGAGCTGGAGCTTCACGAGAGCAGGATCCACAACTGCCCTTTGCACCACTCCACCCCCTGTGAGGAGGAGCTCGGGAAATGTCTGCTCCAAGAAGGGGCTTGTGGTCTAACTCGGGTCAGTGCCACTGCAGGACCCACATCCTGCCCCTCTGCCCCTGAACGTGGACGTTTGGACACCACCGACCAAAGCACTCCAAGCAGGCCTGCCTCTGCAGGCCAGGCCTCAACCCGCCCCATCCGCGGGCTGTCTGGTGCAGAGGGTGAGACTCTAAAGTCTTCTATGGAGCAGCCCAGAGCACATGGAGATGGAGAGGATGGGGTTGCTTAGGCAACTGTCGCCTGGCAACCGGCTCCCTGGCTGATCTCCTACACCCCCCCACCCCCGCTTCATGCTGGGGGAGCTGGGATGCGAGAGGGATCAGGCCTGAGGAGACAGGGAAGCCACAGAGACACCCCCTCCCCCCGCCCCCAGCACCCCCTGACCAGAGGGGAGTCAGGGATGAACAGACCTACCTGCCTGTCCATCCCAGTCTCTGCCAGGGTAGCCCCCAAGTGCTTTCCTAACCCCACGTTTCCCAGGCCCCCTGCCCACCACTGCTCCCTACCTCTGTACCAACACTACCAGAGGACGAGACGCCCCTGCCTTGGGCAGTCCCTCCTCCCATCTAACCAGGAGCCCTCCTACAGAGCAGACCGAGCCTGCAATAATCTCTCTCGCCTTCTATCCATTCTACCCACTCTACATCGCTGCAGCGTCGGAGAGCCCCAGGGCGAGAACAGGAACTCACCACTGACTTTGGAAAAGGGCGGCTGGGGCCTGGGTGGGCACCCTGTCCAAGCTGTGGAGGCCCATCCCGTCCCACTTCCCTCCTACTCAATTAGGAAGCTCCTAATGAACACCTGGACCTCCTTAATTAGCCCCCTGCCTAATGACCTAACCAACTGCCCAGAGCCAGAGGCCGGGGCATCCGTCCTCCAGACGTGCACCTTTTCCCCATCCCTCTTCTCCTTCCCTGTCCTCTCCTCCTCCAGGAAGCCCTCCCAGACCCGACTTTTGGCTGTCTCTCCAGGGCTGGAGGGGGATTAGCAAGATGCGATGGACACAGGGGGTTGGCTAGGATGGCTTTCCGGCTCCGATGGCCCCGCGGCCCGCCTGACCTCAGCCACAGCTATGACTCCTTGGGCTGGTGGCAGCTGTGTCACCAAGTGTAGCCCCTGGGAGGCTCCGCAGCTTCTGCTTCTCCCACTCAAGGCAGTGCTGGCCCGACAGAGCTGGGCAGGGTGGGCCTCCTGGGGGCAGGGAGTGGGGACAGAGAGAGCAGAGGGGCTGGGGGGAGGGCAGCTGGGCTGAGCCCTAGGGAGGCAGGCCAGACCCACCTTCTTTAGGGAAGAGTGGTGGCAGAGAAGCCTCAGCAAATGGAGAACAGAGAGGACACAGGGCTGGAGAGGCTCATCTGACAACACCCTTGACAAGGAGGAGGGGCTGAGGGAACCAGACATGGTGGGAAATCCAGAGCGACCCCCGTGGACAGCCACTTGTCCAAGCTGGGATCCAGACCCAATAGAAACCTGTGGGTTGTATTTACATGCAAATGAGGTGCAAACATTATGCAAAATGTACCCTAAAGGGGGGTCTCAGGCTGGAGGGGGCATGGGAGAAAAAAACAGGCCCCTGCCTCCCCCAATTTAACACCTCTTGGTACCTGAGCAATATTCAAACCATTCTCGGGTTTCAGAATGATGCTATCTCAGTTCCTGTGAGGGCGGCCTGGGGCCAGTGGGGAGAGTGCGGGCCGGCGGTCAGGGTGGCCTCCTGGAGCTGCAGCTGTGTCGGGCTGCCCTTCCTGGGGAGCCCAGTGTCTCCTAGCTCCTCTCCTACTCCCCCGTGGCCCCCACACCCTCCCACCCACACCTGCCAGCCGGCGCCCAGCGGCTCCCGGTGCCCAGGAACTGGAGGGCATCTGCTTCCAGAGCTGCCGTACCGATGCAGGTCAAAACGGAGCAGGGGCCCAGAGAGGCTGAGTGAGCAGCCTCCTGCGCAGAGCACTGGGCTTCCACCCCGCTCTCTGCACGGCGAGAGAGGCAGCCCTCATTAGGCAGGCCCTCCGTCCCTTCCTCTCAGGCTGCTCCAGGCCGCAGGCTGGGTACTGGAGGGGAAGGCAGGAGGCGCCGGAGACAGCTGTCAGCCCTCCTCCGCCCCTTCCCCGTGGCTGGGCTGCAGGGCATGAAATAGGCAGCAGGCGCTGGGGGAGGGGGTGACAAGCCAATCCACCTGTCACCCCCACAGTCAGGCGGCCTCAAGCAGCCTGCTCACTAACGAGGGAGGAGGCGTGGGTGAGGCAGACACATGGGAGGGTGGCAGAGGGGGACAGACCCACAGACCCGCGAGTAAGAGAGGCAAAGAGGCCAAGAGGGAGGCCAAGTGTGGGGCGCAGGCGGAGACAGACAAGGAGAGGACCAGAGCAGAGAGGGCGAGGCCCGGAGCCCAGACTCAGAGGCAGCCCGACTGTGCCCCAACGCTGGGCTGGG